AAAGATTTGATTGATAATGTCAGTGCGAATCAGTCTGCATCTTGGCTTCATTTATTCTTCTTTACACAGAAAAATTTAAACGGTTCAATAAAAACGACATCAGGGTATCTTTTCATAATTCTAATAAAATGGGTAAATATATTGAAGTACAAAAGGATATTTGTCCCCATACGTCTAAGAACAATGTAGTTTATAAGATATCGTGTAACAATTGTGATGCGTCGTACGTTGGACAGACGGGCAGACAATTGAAAATCAGAATTATAGAACATCGTAATCATATTAGACATAACACTTCTGTCCGTTCTGCTACAACGGAGCACAGGCTGCAGTATGATTATGATTTCCAATGGGATAATGTTAAAATTTTAGATGAAGAGTCTTGCTATAGGAAACGCTTAATTTCCGAGATGCTCAATATTAAGAAGCAGAAAAACAGTTTAAATTTACAAACTGACACTGAAGGTCTTCATAAGGTATATATACCTATTGTAAATAAGGTTTGACTTTCAATACTGATAGTTCGTCTCTTCTCTCAGTCCCTGGTGATCCGTATCAGCGAACATACATACATAATAATCGACACACAATGTTTGTTTTATACATCTGCGTTCCACTTACCTTTATATATTCTAATGTTATTCATATTTATATGGACACATTTGTTTGAATAATTTACATATAATTTTTGGTGAGTTTTAATTACTTATTAGAATTCCGGTATGTCAATTTAGTTGCATTTATTTTTTCGTAAGAAGTCTTTTTATCTTTTTATCAACTAGAACTTTTCCGAGAGATATGAAACACATTTGACTGTTTAATCGTATGTGAATAATGTCGTGTTCTACATCAAGACTCACCCGAACTGTGAATATAGTAAATGTGCGAACATTTGCGATAATTAATTTTGTACTGCGATTTTTTCGATAAGTTAATGTCTGAAGAGGGCTCAATCCGGTAGCCGAAACTTGTAATTTATTTGTATTTAAACTGAGTTTTTATTTTATTATATATTTTTTCAATTTTACTTTTCTTATATTTGTAATTTATTCTTTTAATTGTGTGACTTTTTTAAAGAAACGTGTTTGACTCTCACTTTGTCCCCTTTATTTATTGTTATTTATTTTGTATAGGAAGAGTCCTTCAATCTGTTAAATATAACGCCTTGAATTTCAAATGGGTGAATTCTTTCCATCTTACCAAATTCTGAACGATTGTTCCATAAACATGTATATGCGAATACTAAATATACGAGACACGGCTGTACCATTAATGCTCTGCTACTTGAAAATATTTTAGATTAATATTCGAATCTTATACGAAGGAAATATTGCAATAAATTGTCAGTCATCAAAGTGATTTCAAACCGATTGTCGGAGAAATATTCACTGTAGAAATATTGTTCCTTATTGAGCCCTTTGATCCTTTGTTTCACACATATTGGATTTGTAGAGAACCTTAATTTCACGAATCGTTAAAATATTAAATCTTTTGATGCAAATTCTTGATTTCTCGATTTTCAATTTTAATACTATAAACTCTTGATTTTACGAATCTTTGGTTTAAAAGATTATTTTAAATAATTAGTTTTGCTGATTCTTATGTGCACATATTCCTAAATTCACACATTTTTGATACCGGACTTAATGTCATAAATCCTTAATTACAAAAGCATCATTGTGAATTTATATAATTCCGCATAACATTATTGTAAATTTTCCGTTTTCTTAAATCTTAATTTCACAAATTTCCTGTGTCGTAGATCCTTAATTTTCACGGATTCAGTTTTATTAAACAATTTCTGGTCCCACAGTACCTGATTATATGATACATTATTTTATCATTTAACTAAGCTTATAATTTTTTTTAAATACCAAAGTCAAAGGTACTTCGATGCCAGAGATTTAAATCTTAATGTCAAAAAAATCATTTTTAATATCTTGTAATATTTACAACTGTTTTGTTATCTCTCTAAATATATACTCTTCGGCGATCGGTTTCGAAATGTTTATATCAGAAATAGCGAAAGCAGTTCTAAGAACGCCTTTTGATTTCAGATTACTATGGAGGAGGCACGAGGTGATCCGACGAAATCATCATTGCTGCAGAAGCTACTGCAGTCCGAGTGACTGCAGGCCACTATCCCGTCATGCAGTAAAGAGTTATATGTAATATATTTTTGAGTATGCAAAGAGCGGAACGGAGATATATAGGACATATATAAAACGCGGAAGACAGCAAGAGTGCGACAAAAAGGAGAGAAAATGTGTGAGAAAGTGTTATAAAATGCATATACACTTATACGTAATGGATACTATTGTATTATATGTAACGTCATACACGGAGTCAGTATTCATATACGTATCACCAAATACAATGCAAAACTAGCGCGCGGTGCTCTCTAGAATGTTGCCCGTCGATCAGTCGAGGAAAAAAGACGAGCGAGAGAGAGAGAGAGAGAGAGAGAGAGAGAGAGAGAGAGAGAGAAGAGTGAGAAATAGAAAGATAGATATAGACAGAAAATGAGATAGAAAGATAGAGATAGGAAAAAAGAAAGATAGAGTGATAGAAATAGAAAGAAAAAGAGAGATAGAAAAAGGGGGAAACGGCGGGACCTATTCCCTTTCTTTTTTACTTTTCGAACTTGAAGGACCAAAAGTTTTAGTTTTTGTTTGGCTGTGTCAAGATTTCCTGGCTGAGCATGCGATTCGCCAGGAGTATCGAGGTCGCGTCGTATCGCGGCACGGAGAGAATCGATTCGCGGCGTTCGTTCCCGTCGCTTTTTATGTTTTTCCTTTTTTTGTTTTGTTTGTTGAGGAAAGAGTCTTTCTCTCAAGCTCTCGTCTCGGCTTCGGATGACCGAAGATTTATGTCGTATATTACGCTGTGACGATCACAAGCATACGATGAACCCACATCCGCATTTTACCTGTCGATACCTGCGTGTATGTGTATGTATGTATGTATTAATGCTTGCGCGTGTGCGTGTGTATCGCGTTCTCCGTCAGTATTGTATTTGGTATATCACAAGAGTGGGAAAAAAAGGAGAGGAAACTATATATAGGTACCTCAAACAAAGGTATACTTTACTATACCACTGGCTGTTGAACATAGATACTATTTATAGGATTTAATTATTCTATACACAGATGAAAAAAAGAAAGAAATAGAGCACTCTATTCACGTATTCTTCTTAATTTAACATCCTTTTTCGACTATTACATTTATGGATAATATATTTGTGATTGTAAGAATCTGCAACCAAAATGTGACAAAGAATTGTTGTTGTTAATATGATTATAAC